TCTCCTCCTCCTTCTCCTTCTCCTTCCTCTCCTTCTCTTCGCCTTCTTCTTTTTCCCCGTGCTTATCGTGGCGGCAGCAACCGGCCTCCTTTATACAGCTACGGGAATAAGTTGGTCACAGGGCTAATACGATCCGATTTAAGCCAAAACGTTTGCACAAAACAGGGAATCGGCCGTCGACCTACAAATCTCCTCATCAGTCACACTTTCGCACACAATGAATGCCTCTTCAACAAATTTGTATTTACATTTAAAATACAAACTTTTATTTACGCCTGCCGTGAGTACATATTTCATCTTAATCGCCTTAAACGAGCCAAGTTGACGACTTCTAAACCTACTCGCACGCACCAAACACATACACACATACACACAGGAATATACAAACACAACTACAACATACACAGACGAAGTGTTGTCCCTCTGTCAGGACCGTCTAAGGGGCTCAGAGTCGAGCGAACACGCGATCGTCGATCCGAGCTAGCCGTCGTGCCACTGGGCCATCAGTTCGGGGGCCCAGGAGCTCGGGGGCCTGGCGAGAGCACTCTCGATTGGCCGGTTTTCGGGTCGGTGACCGTCGTCTGTCGGCCCAAGTGGCATTCTCGGACCGGCGCCTGAGCCGCGGAGACGCCAGAAACACCAGATTCGCTGGACTGGGGCCGGGTTTGTCCCGGAACCGGGTCAGTCTGCTATTGACAGGGCCAGACGTTCAGGCTGGATCCGAGGCCTCGGTCGCCCGCGTCGTCTGCACGCTCTGCTGCTTCGTTTTGTGTATGTGTGTGAGCGTGTGTATATATATGTGTGTTCGACTAGTGACGGCTAGACAGGTCGCCTCGCCTCTGACCTACACCCCACTTGGGTGTACGCACATTTTGTGTCTATTTTTGTAGAGACGTGCCAGGCGCATCATTGGATCCGCCTTGGCACCCCGCCTCACCAGACCTGGAGACTTGCAGACATGTAGACCCGTAGACCCGTAGAACTGTAGAACTGTAGAACTGTAGAACTGTAGAACTGTAGAACTGTAGAACTGTAGAACTGTAGAACTGTGGAACTATAAAACCATAGGAGTTTAGAACAACAGAACTGTAAAACTGCAGAACAGTATTACCCTAAAACTGTAAAACCGTGGAACCGCAGAACTGTAGAGCCAGAGAACGGTAAAACCATAGAACAGTATTACAGTAGAAGTGTAGAACTGTAGAACAATATTACCTTAAAACTGTAAAAGCGTACAAGTGTAGAACCATAGGCCTGTGGGAGTCTTTGTCCCAGTTGACCACGTTCTGCTCGCGTCGACTCATCTTGCCACGACTACCCTCCCCACTTTGCCCTTCGACCTGACTCGAAATCCTTCTCGTCGACTCCATTTGATCGACTCTTCTACAATTTTTTCAGTCTTCAATCGGCCTGGCTGTGGCTTTGTCTTTCCTACGCCTATTCGACCTCCAGTTCAGCGCCGCATCTGCTGCCCCTCTGTCTCCCTTCTACTATTGCCTCGCTTTTCCT